ACAGGTATTATTTGTGGTTTTGGCTCCTTGCATTTTCTTTTTTTAAATTTATTTTTAAAGATTTTATTTATTTATTTGACAGACAGAGATCATAAGTAGGCAGAGAGGAAGGCAGAGGGAGAGGGAGGGAAGCACGCTCCCTGCTGAGCAGAGAGCCTGATGAGGAGCTCTATCCCAGGACCCTGGGATCATGACCTGAGCCAAAGGCAGAGGTTTTAACCCACTGAGCCACCCAGGCGCCCCTCCTTGCATTTTCTTAATGTCAGGACAATATAAGGCTACTATCAGTGACTTTAAGCTAAGGAATGTCAATTTGAGCAAATTGGACAAAAACTTCAGGTATTAAAAATACATTAAAGCTGACAAAAGAGAAGAAAATCTGAATATCCTGCTATCTAGTACAGAAATGGAATCCATTGTCAGAAGTTCCCATAATGAAAATATAAAGTCCCAGATGATTTCACTGATGGATTCTTCCAAACATATAAGGAAAAGGTAACAGGTCTTAAATGAATGCTTCATCAGAATAGTAAAAGATAAATAAGTTTGTAACTCTTTTTGTGAGGCAAGCATGGCCCTAATACTAAAATCTGAGAGGTAAATGAAAAGAAAGGAAAATCAAAGGATGATCTCTGAAGTTTCAAAATTCTAAGCAAAATAGTACAAAGTTAAATCCAGAGATATACAAAAAGCATACTACACTGAGCCAAAGGGTTATTTTGTGATGACAGATTAGTTTAATGTAATAGTTTAATGAAATTCATTCCATTAAAATAAAAAGGAGAATAATCCTTTCAAAATTTCAACAGATGCAACAAAGGTGTTTGGTAAACTTCAACACCCATTTGCAATAAAAACCCTATAGGAAACTAGGAATATTTCCCTTCCTCTCCTGGCTTTTGGCTTCATTTGTTGTTCTTTCTCTAGCTCCTTTAGGTGTAAGTTAGGTTGTTTATTTGAGATTTTTTTGCTTCTTGAGATAGGCCAGTATTGCTATATACTTCACTTAACATAATCCCCTCCAGTTCCATCCATGTTGATGCCAATGGTAGGTATTCATCCATTCTGATGGCTGAGTAATATTGCATTGTATATATGAACCACATCTTCTTTATCCATTCATCTATTGAAAGACATCTTGGCTCCTCCCACAGTTTGGCTATTGTGGACATTGCTGCTATAAACATTAGGGTACAGGTGCCCCTTCTTTTCACTACATCTGTATCTTTGGGGTAAATACCTAGTAGTGCGATTGTTAGGTTGTAGGGCAGCTCTATTCCTTATGTATTGAGGAAACTCCATACTGTTTTCCAGAGTGGCTGTACCAGCATGAATTCACACCAACAGTGTACGAGGGTTCTCCTTTCTCCACATGCTCACCAACATTTGCTGTTTCCTGCCTTGTTAATTTTTGCCATCTAACTGGTAGAAGGTGGTATCTCATTGTGGTTTCAATTTGTATTTTCCTGGTGGCTAGTGATGTTGAATAATTCTTCATGTGTCTGTTAGCCATTTGTATGTCTTCTTTGGAGAAGTGTCAGTTCATATCTTCTGCCCATTTCTTTCTCTTTTTTTTTTTTAATTATGTTATGTTAGTCACCATACAGAATGTCATTAATTTTTGATGTAGTGTTCCAAGATTCATTGTTTGTGTATAACACCCAGTGCTCCATGCAATCTGTGCCCTCCTTAATACCCATCACCAGGCTAACTCATCCCCCCACTCTCCTCCCTTCTAAAACCCTCAGTTTGTTTCTTGGAGTCCACAATCTCTCATGGTTCATCATTACCCCCCTACTTCATTTTTCCCTTCCTTCTCTTAATGTCCTCCATGCTATTCCTTATGTTGCACAAGTAAGTGAAACCATTTCTCGACTGGATTATTTGTTTTTTGGGGTGTTGAGTTTGAGAAATTCTTTCTAGATCTTGGACACCAGCCCTTCATCTGTAATGTCATTTGCAAATATCTTCTTCCATTCTGTGGGTTGCCTCTTAGTTTTGCTGACTGCTTTCTTTGCTGTGCAGAAGCTTTTTATTTTGGTATCTGTTGATTTTTACTACAAAAATAATTTTTAAAAAGTTGTATACATGTTGGAATGGTAAGCAAAGAAAAAAAACCCCAGAATAAAATGTTTTCATTTGTTTGGTCTTTAACATCCATTTCAAAAAGCACAAGCATCCAAGTAGATGAAAGGACAGATATAATAGCAGGATAATTTGAGGAATATTTACCATGGTTAAAAATCAGAGAAACAAATATTCAGTCTCACTAGTAACCAAAGACATGCAAGTAGAACAATATTATTTTATACATAAGAAATTGTTAGTGATTAAAACCAGCAATGACACTAAGAGAAAGTGTGGTGGTTAAGAGCATAGACTCTAGGGGTCATGCAAATCTGGGGTCTAATTCTGCCCCCTCCATTTAGTAGTTGTATGACCTTGGTCAAGTCACTATACTCCCTGGACCTCAGTTTTCTCACCTATAAAATGGGAATAAGAATAGTTTCTGTATTCTAAGCTTGCTGTATCACTGAGATTGTGTAATGAAAGTGTTCAATAATATTAATAATAGGATTAATTCAATAGTGTTCATAAAAATACAGAAGATGTAACATTTTTAGCAGTTGCTCTGTATCAGATATTATGGCTGTCATGCTCTATATAGGCTGCCTCATTTCACTGAGAGTTTAGGACTTAAGGGGTTTGTTTCATACTAGGATTACTCTGTTTAGGAAAATCACCAGCAGAAATAGTCACGTTATAATTTATACTCCTGACATCTCCCTCAATCCAGTTCTACCTAGAGTATGGAACAGGCATTAAACTGTCTAGTACATAAGCATGAGTTCCTAGGAGGCCTGCCAGTCAGGCTGAAGTGCACTGTATCCCAGCAAGAGGCCTCAGAATCACTCTCCCGAGATCCACATCTGAGCTTAACCCCTGGGAAAGAGATGCCCTCTTTCTGTTCCCCAAGACCTAGCCAGAGTTGGCTGGAGGACAGGCTGCACAATGACACTGAAGTTGGCTCTAATGAGCACCTTGGGAAATGGTGTTTCAGGAGCTTTAAAACCCTGAAAAAGATTCTTGTCTTTTCAGGCCTAAGGGAGTCAAAATTAATCATACACTCTGTGTTCCTAGTGAACCCCAGACTCCACAGACCCCATCTTCACTGACTGAGTCTGAAATGTCCCAGCACTTCCTCATTGTGAATTATCCATCCAAGGGAAAGAAATGGAAAATCTGAAGATGCCTGACACTGACTCATGGTCTCACAGGTGAGAATCTGGAATGGACCACACACACACACATACACACACACCCCACTGTTCCCAGCCCAACAGCTAAGCACAAGTTCCCTGGGTAGATATGAGCTAAGTCTCTGCCTAGGATCACAAGCCTTTCTCTGAACCAAAGAACAAACAGAGGATTAAATGTTCACAGAAGCTTCTAAGGTCCCAGTTTCGACAAGGTCACTATCAAATGCCCTCTCACACCAGCTCCCTCCAAACCCTAGGGGAGCAGAAGAACAGAGTAGCTATTTTCAAGCCCAAGGAACCAGAGCCTGGCTCCTTTCACCTTCCTTCCCCTGAGGAAATGTCAGAGAGATGTGGTACAATTGCAGGGGTGAAGGCATAGGATCTAGAGGCACACCTGTGTTTGAATATAATTTACTAGTTATCTGAGTACCTCAAATATCTCTGAAGCTCAGTTTTACCATTTACAATGTTGTCAAGGATACCTACTTCATAGCCTTGTGAAGAGTAAAAACAAAGCCATGAAGGTATCTGGTATTTAACCAGTCTCGACAAATAGGGGTCATGACAAGAGGCCAAGAGAACTGAAGTATCAGCTCCTAGAGCAAATAACAGGTGCTGAAGAACAGAAGGGGAAGAGGACAAAGGAGAGAGAGTGATGGAGGCAGAGGCAGCCCCCTCCCTGTTTATGGAGGGGAGGTCCTAGTGATGGATGGGGAGGATGGGATATCATAGACGCTCACTGCCCCCAGCTTATATACCCTGTGCCACCATTTAAGGAAGGGCACAGGGATGGGAGCTGAATGGTGTGGTCAATTTCTAGAGACTGGGGAAGGCAAGTAGAGAGGAGGCTGTTTTGTCTACATGTGCGTGTGTGTGTGTGTGTGTGTGTGTGTGTGTGTGTGTGTGTGTGTGTTGGGGGAGAGGCAGCAATGGAAATCATCTCTTTCCTTTTCAACTGGTAAATGTAAATGACTTTTCCAATCTTGCCTTCAAGGATATGCTCAATTCTTTTTATTTATTTATTTATTTATTTATTTTCAGCATAACAGTATTCATTGTTTTTGCACCACACCCAGTGCTCCATGCAATCCGTGCCCTCTCTAATACCCACCACCTGGTTCCCCCAACCTCCCACCCCCCACCACTTCAAACACCTCAGATTGTTTTTCAGAGTCCATAGTCTCTCATTGTTCACCTCCCCTTCCAATTTCCCTCAACTCCCTTCTCCTCTCTAACTCCCCTTGTCCTCCATGCTATTTGTTATGCTCCACAAATAAGTGAAACCATATGATATTTGACTCTCTCTGCTTGACTTATTTCACTCAGCATCATCTCTTCCAGTCCCGTCCATGTTGCTACAAAAGTTGGGTATTCATCCTTTCTGATGGAGGCATAATACTCCATAGTGTATATGGACGGAAGATGTGGATATGCTCAATTCTTACCTCCTGCTATAGCCCATACTGACTTCTCTGGCCAAACTGATCTCTTCTCTGGACCTATTGTAACACAAAAAGCACAATCTGCATTTGTATGAGTATTGTCTTGCCTTCTGGTGTTCCATGGGTGTTTTTTTTCATCCCCAGTGAGATTTAATTTTCTCACTGGCAAGGTCCATGTATCCCCCCCCCCCCCCCCAGTATAGTTCTGGCTATACAGATACACATCTGTGACTGATCTAGTAATTAAATACTAACATATGGAAGGGTTTTATTGAACAGATAATAAGAACTACAAAGGATGGGAAAATCAAGCCAAGTGAACCAAACAGCTGTTTCAGACTTCCTCCTTCTGGGACTCTCTGAGCAGCCAGAGGAGCAACGGCTCCTATTTGGCATCTTCCTGGGCATGTACCTGATCACCATGACAGGGAACCTGCTCATCATCCTGGCCATAAGCTCTAACCCACGCCTTCATACTCCCATGTACTTTTTCTTGGCCAATCTATCATTAACTGATGCCTGTTGCACTTCTGCTTCAGTCCCCAAAATGCTGGCCAACATTCATACCCAGAGTCAGACCATCTCTTATTCTGGGTGCCTTGCACAGCTGTATTTCCTCCTTATGTATGGTGGCCTTGACAACTGCCTGCTGGCTGTGATGGCATACGACCGCTATGTGGCCATCTGCCAGCCACTCCATTACAGCACAGCTATGAGTCCCCAACTCTGTGTACTAATGCTGGTCATGTGCTGGATGCTAACCAACTGCCCTGCACTGATGCACACACTGCTGCTGACCCGTGTGGCCTTCTGTGTCCACAAGGCCATCTCTCACTTTTACTGTGATCCCAGTGCTCTGCTAAAGCTTGCCTGCTCAGATACTCGCATTAATGAGCTGATGATCATCACCATGGGGCTAATGTTCCTCACTCTCCCCTCATGTTGATTGTCCTCTCCTAAGGCCACATTTCCTGGGCTGTGTTTGGCATCTCATCTCCTGGAGGGCGATGGAAAGCCTTCTCTACCTGTGGTTCCCACCTCACAGTGGTCCTGCTCTTCTATGGGTCTCTGATGGGTGTTTATTTACTTCCTCCATCAACTCACTCGGCAGAGAGTGAAAGTAGGGCTGCCATTCTCTACATGGTGATTATCCCCATGTTAAACCCGTTCATCTACAGCTTGAGGAACAGAGACATGAAGGAGGCCTTGGGTAAACTATTTGGTAATGGAAAAATGTTCCTCTTACCATGACAGTGATGCCTGATCCTGGTATTCCGATCAATCCCTGCCCTTCATTATTTCAGTGATTCCACCATTCTGACTGATTTTTAAGGGAAGATTATCACTAAATCTGGGTTAGGGATGTAATGAAAAGGAGAGTTGCACTCCTTTACTTGACTCTAAAATGATATCTTCTGTCTCACTCTCTCTCTCGATCCCAATGAAGCATCCATCACTAAGGGCAGGACACCATTCCCCCTTCCTCACCTCTAAAACCAGATTATTAGCCAGAGTGGACTAAAGGATATGATTCATGTTCTAGAGCCAAGTAACCCTCCCCTTGTGTTCTATGGCACAAGGTAAAGGGATAAGAATACAAACACGTACTGAGTATCTACCAGGTTCCTCACTGTTCTTCACAACAGTTCTTTGAGGTAGGATTGTGAAAAGTGTGAGTCAGAATGTAAATAGCTTCCCCAAACCAGGTAAGTTTGATTCCAATACCCATCCTCTTTCTACCACACCACATTGTGGAGATCATGAAAAATAATGAATGATCATGATAGGAAGTAAAGAATTAAATTAATATATAATTTCCATAATATTTTATCTCTTTAACTTAAGAACACTCCTTTCTCTTATTCTAGGGGAAACAGAGTCGATATCTATGTGTGCCTACTGTGTGCCAATTTTGTACTAAGTACATGATTTATCCTCTGAGTTCTTTCATAAAAAAATCAAAATACAAATACAAAACCATAAATCAAGTGTGCTGGAAATTTTAGAGCAATAATTTGAGGAAAGCTAGTCTGGTAGAAATGGGTGTTCCAAGAAGTCACAAGCTTAACAAAGATTATCTTTTTGCAGTGGGATTACAGGTTACTATTTTTTAAATATTTAAATGTTTTGAAAATTCTAGATAAAAATGTTCCAAATATAGATATTTTTGGAGCCAGGAAATGAAATTTGAGGGCTGGCACAAAAATATTCTAATGACTAGCAAGTCACTCCAGAGATATAAAGAAGTACCCCAAAACAGAGCTCTCCAAAGTTTCAAGGTCAAGTTCATCCTGGATCATGTTTTTATTTTTATTTTTTTTCCAAAATACTTATTTATTTATTTTAGGAAGAGAGAGTGAGTGGGGGAGGGGCAGAGGGTGAGATAGAATCTCAAGCAAACTCCCCACTGAGCCTGGGGCCCAATGCTGCCTGGATCAAGCTTTTTTTTTTTTTTTTTTTTAAAAAGGAGGGTGTATGGGGTGCCTGAGTAGCCCAGTCTTTTGAGCATCCAATTCTTGGTTTTGGCTGGTGTGATGATCTCAGGGTCATGAGTTTGAGCCCCATGTCAGGTTCCATGCTCAGTGCGGGGGCTGCTTAATATTCTCTCCCTCTCCCTCTGCTCCTCCACCCCACTTTCTCTCTCTAAAATAAATAAATAAATCTTTTTAAAAAGGGAGGGTGTGACTTTTTGATGTCTCGTACAATAGATCTTGCTTTGAAAGAAAGATCATGAAGGAAGAAGGCTACACCTGTGTATGTTTCCCTTTGGCCATTATCCCTTCTCCCGTCTGTCCTTTCTTCTTGGATAGAAGAGGTAGGAATAACGTGACAGCCAGGCAAACCAGACTAGATTCTCCTGGCCTTGAAGTAGGTTATTTGGCTCTGACTACAGCAATCTATTACTGCAATTTCCAGTAAGAAAGCAAAGCTTAAAAGAGCAAGTTTCGTGTTTGTCAGTAATAGCCCTCTTTTTCTGAACCAATTTCCTCCCTGGAATATTCCCACCTCCGTCCTCCCATCATCCAGGTTCACCATGCTGTTCACCATCTATTCAGTCTGCTTCCTGCCCTGCATTAATGGATTGCCCCAGATCAAACTCCCATTCCTGAAGCATGGAGCCAAATATGATTATATCCCTTAAAAGACAGGCACTCAATTTGTAAGTAAGGTTCATTCTTTCAGAGGACCATTCACATTTTGGAAGGTGATCTTTTTAAAACAAATGGATCTCAAATGGATAGGATATTGCTGAAGGTATTTCTGAGTCCAGAAATTTTAGATGCAGGAACATAGCTAAATATAGGGTGGGTACACCCTACCGGTTTCTCCTTTCCCCATGTTCTCAACTACAACTGCCCCTTGTAAGACTCAGAAGATAAAGGGGGATACTGTTCAGGCAGAGTGAATGAATTGGAAAGGAAGCCTGCATACATACTGTAAATCGGGACCCCATAAATTAAATATTCACTGGTGCTTTACTTTTTTGCTAGAAGTTACATATGTGTCACCTGTCATTTTAATCAAATTTTAATATGTGTTAACTAGTAAAAGTGTTTCTTTTGTATACAAAAATTTGGAGACTTTAATGACATATCCAAGAATTCCACTATATCCTCTGGGATATAGATAGCTAATTACAACTAATAAAACTCTAAGAACGGAAATAGTCCTTCATATAGTACAGAATAATAACGGAAAGACTTTTGGAAATAACACCACCCCACATGTATACTTTAAAATACTGAGTTTAAAATAATTGGGTTTTTAAATGACAGTAATTGATGGTGTATAAAAGCAGATAAGGGAGATATTCTCAAGTGCTACTGAAAGTATAAATTGGCATAGATTTCCAGGAAATAAGTTCATAATAAATATTATGAGCACAAAAATATTTGTACCTTATTACCTACTCTTTTCAAGGAAATAGTACAACAGTGGAGCACTGGGTGTGGTACAAAAACAATGAATACTGTTATGCTGAAAATAAATTTAAAAAATGATTAAAAAAATAAATAAAAGCATTACAAATGAGAAAAAAAGAATTTATATATAATGATGTTACTCATAAGAGAAACAGAGAAACCACCCAAATTTCAACAACTGCAGCTTGGTTAATTAAATTATATTATGTCAGTACAATGGAGTAGTGTGTGGACTTTCCAGTTATTTGATAACACATTTTTAACATAGAATAATGTAAACAGGTCTTCCATGACATACATTGGGGCTGTGTCCTGATAAGACCATTGTAAGTTGAAAATATCCTAACTGGAAAATTCATTTAATACACCTCACCTCACCTACTGAGCATCATAGCTCAGCCCAGCCTACCTTAAACTTGCTCAGAACACTTACATTAGTCTACAGTTGGACAAAATCATCTAACACAAAGTCTATTTTATGACAAAGTGTTAAATATCTTATGTACTTTATTGAATAGTATACTGAAAATGAAAAGGAGGACGGTGGTATGGGATGGAATGGTTCCAAGTGTATGGGTTGTTTCCCCTGTTGATCACGTGGCTGACTGGGAGCTTCTGCTGCTGGTGTCACAAGAGAGCATCATGATATATGCCACATATTGCTAGCCCAGGAAAAGATCAAAATTCAAAGTACTGTTTGTACTGAATGCATATCACTTTTGCACCATGTACAGTGAAAAAATCATGAAGTTGAACCACCAACCATCTGTATTCTGCTACAAGGGAAAGAAGTAGGGGGCTTTTTAAAGAAAATGAAGTATTTTAAAAAATAAAAGTAATTATTCCATCTGTATTAGAAATCATTTGTGATGTTTTCATTTGGCACTGAAAAGTTTCCTGTCTAACTACACAAGCATAAGGGGCCTGACATCATAATTATTCCAGCATTAAGTCTACACTTCATTATCTATTTTATTAATCAAGGTTCAGGGTGGCAAAAAGAAACCACTTTGGTATTTTAAGCAGAAATTAAGTTAATTTAGGAAATTGGGTCCTTACAAAGTCATTCAGTTTTATAGAATGTCTCTAGGATGTCTTCAGGAATAATCTTAAGAACAGTAATAGGGGTGCCTGGGTGGCTCAGTGGGTTAAAGCCTCTGCCTTTGGCTCAGGTCATGACCCCGGGGTCCTGGCATTAAGCCCCACATCGGGCTCTCTGCTCAGCAGGGAGTCTGCTTCCCCCTCCCTCTCTACCTGCCTCTCTGCCTACTTGTGATCTCTGTCCATCAAATAAATAAATAAAATCTTTTTAAAAAAAAACAGTAATAATGTGACCAATGTGAAGTACTCCCATCTCTTATGTAATCAAGAATGTGGGAATCAGAAGGTTGCCACTGGAACTATTGAATTCAAGAGAATATCAGTGCAGCTGTGACCCAAATAATAGGAATCAACATCAAAACTACCTCTTGATATCAACTAACCTGATGACTGGAACCAGAAAAGTGGGATCCAGTTACTATTCTCAATGTAACTGCCTCTCAGCATTATGTAACTACTGATTGGACACTGAAATTCTGCTATTGAAAAAATGCTCCATTAATACATCTGTCAGTAGAAAAGGCAAAAAACAAAAACAAACAAACAAACAACAACAACAAACAAATGCCCTTCATCTCATTTCAATATTCCAAATTTCACATAAGTGCATCTATTCAATAGAACTAAATTCACATCTAGGACCTGACCTGCAAAGGAGTCTGGGAAAAGTATTCCTTTCTTCTTTCCAGCTTTTGAAATATAGGAAGGTAGAGCAGAACAAGGTCAGATTGGATGGAGAGGGCCAACTGATTATTTCTCAAATATTTATTAATAAAAATATTGAATAACAACTTTTCTCTTCCCCTAAATTGATATGTCTGATCTGCAGTAATTTACATTCTCCTATTGTCAAGGCAGAGGAACAAAGTTCTGAGATATTTAGTACTGAGATATTTAATATTTAGATATTAGATTTTTCAGGGCATATGGATTGATGCTAAAGATCATAACATGCCAAGAGCACTCACAGAAAATATGGAAAAGGAATTCCCAGGAAAAGGGTAAATATTTCAATAGTCAAACTAAAGACCATGCTCTAAGTCTGCTGATATAAAGATGCTCAACATTATTAGTCATTAGCAAAATGCGAATCAAAACCACACTGAGGGGTGCCTGTGTGGCTCTGTTGGTTAAGTAAGTACCTGCCTCTTAATTTCAGCTCAGGTCATGATCTCAGGGTTGCAAGATCGAGCCCTGCATCAAACCCACTTAAGATTCACTCCCTCT